TCGTCACATTCAGGATCGACACTCCTAGTCAGTCGTGTGCCTCGATTTGTCTCTACAGTAGAACTTGGTGTTGGATCTTCGTGGTTGTGAGTACGCTCGTCTCGAAGAATAATATTCTCCAACTGTTGTTTAATTTTGCTTATGTCTCCGCGAATACCCTCCATGGTTGTGTTCATGTTCTCCTTAATTTGTTAACCCATAAACTCCATGATTTACGGCAATATATCCTCGATTGTAAGAGCAGGTTTCGGCGGCGTTGTGATTGATGGATCTTACTTGCTTTAATACCAATTGATGTAGGGAGAAATAATAACAGGAATACTAAAAATAAAAAAGGTTGAGAGATAATACTCTCTGTATGGGTCTGTAAGGGAGTCTACCCGAAAAGATTATTTCACAAGACCTCAAATTCTTTACTCAATTCCTATCTCTCTTCGTTTACGAAGAAGGGACCTTTTTCTATCTCTCTAACTATTTTTCCTGTTTCTTCTCTCCTTACATTTCCTCTCTATCTTCTTGTTCTTTTCCATCACATGGACCCTTTCTCTCTCTCTCTCTCTCTCTCTCTCTCTCTAACTTCCCCATAATTTTAAGAAGTCCCCCACCCATCTCAACTCCCACAAAAATAGAAACTATATCCTCATAAAAATCTATTCTAACCAACTCCCATAGAGAATTTACTATTCTAACATTTAAATCTCTACAATTAAAGAAGAGCATAATAACCCTAAAGAAAATTAAAATCTCAAATAACACCTTTTCTAAAATTAAAAAGAATATAAAATAAAAAATTAAAGAATCCCGATTTTTTATTTGCATCGATATTCACATTCCAATGGGAATTTTGGTTGACTGACGTTATGTTGGCAATCTATGGCCTAGGTCATGTCCAAAAACCGTTCCCCTTGGCATAGGCATTACCATTGAGGGTTTTCAATGGTCATCCCTTATTGATGTCCGAGAGATATCTAGGGATGACGATGATAAGCAGTAAGCCTTTGGGATCCTTCCGTATTGTTGCAACTTGTGAGGGCAAGGGCTAAATCCTCAACAACTACCGCACGACATGTACACATGTCAACTGCATTTTGGGAAGCAGCCCTATAGAGAGGAAACCTCTTACATTTGTATAAGAGATTTTCTCTCTTGCGCTATAGTGTTATGTGCATGTGCATCTTTATGGATATGAGTTGCTCTTCGGAAGGAACCGGTAATCCACACATTAGTTTGTGGTTTTGGCATTTACTGGTCAGCTTTGATGGACCAATCATGAGTCCCTGTGATTGATTGTGGATCATGGGTTCCGTTGGGTTGTCTGAGAAGATAGTCATGGATCACAGATTCTAGGAAAGGTGTAGTGCCTCAGAGATGTCACTTTTCCTGACCCATTGGTACCAACCCACTTCTAGTTTTGTTTTAAATGTGATTTGGAACTTTTCTAATGCCAGAAATATTATTTTTTAACTTTATAGATGTTCCTTTGATTTTTTAATATTTGTCAAAAATTTTAAAATTTATTGTAATCATAAAAGTCCTAAAAGGTAGTTTTGATATTTCTAGAATTTCATCTCTGATTCGGATCCATGTAGTTGGCTTTCGGGACCCAGCCCCACAGGTCAGGGGCCAACATGGGGTGGAATGTTGGGCCCAAAAGGGCCACCTGTCCTACAGTGGGATGCCCCATGTTCTTCTAGATTGTTGGGAGATCTCTTTGGGGATATTGTGAAGATGTGGAAAATATCTTCTATTTTGAAAATAATTTGGAATAGATCTTCCTCTTTGACTTTGGATTTTTAAAATGATTTGAAGTTATTGCTATGTGAGATAGAGTCCGAAATTTATGGGATTATGGAAGATATAACGAGATAGAGTCCAAATTAATGGGATTATGGAAGATTTAATCCTAGTTTGAATAGAAGTGGACATGGGTCAAGGATATGAGGAATAAAGGTCCTAGGATTCCTCCTTGATCCTGATGGTGGATCACGGAATGTATGTCTCAGATTTAATTCTCTCTTCACCTTACAAATCACGTAATGTAGCTCGGTAAAATTTGAGTCCCAATAGAAAGTGGCATACCTTAGAAGGGTTTTATAGAGGTGGGATTCCCTCATTGTCATAAATCTAGGTGGTTAGACCTATCCCTTTGTCCTTCACTCTCCTCCATACCCTCTCCCTCTCTCCCCTCTAGTCTCCTCTCTCTTGCTTTGGTGATGCCCCACCTAGTAAGACAGGACCATAAGAAGATGGCAAGCTACGTTGGCTAGCCTGAGAGGAGGCATGTCCCTATGAGTTTTGTGGTTTAGAGGGTGTTGCCACGTTGAGGCATGCCCTAGTTTTGGGTTGAAAGGATATCGAGTGGCTTCGTATTCATACTCTGAGCCCTAGTTTTTGCCACAGGTGCTTCCTAGATTTTGAGGACTCAAATAGGGAACAAGGATCAATGCACCATTGGTGTGGTAATCGGGTGTGGCGTGTGTTAAGTCCTATGAGGATGACCTTGAGAAAAGTTCAAATGAGTCTTACCAGCTTTGTTTCTTAGTCGATTTTCAGTTTATTGTTCTTATTAGAATTCCTATTTGGGTTAGTATTCCTGTTTGAACTAGCATTTCTATTTGAAATAGGATTCCTATTTGAATTAGGATTGCTATTTGATTTAGAATTCACATTTTTTTTTAATAGAGTTAACTAATTGATTTAGAAGTCACATTGTAATAGAATTCTTGTTATGGAATAAAATTTATTTTCTTTATGCAGTAAATGTTAAGATCCATAGATTGTAGTAGGTTTTATTTTCTGCTTCCATTGTATTTTGGCATTATAAGTAGAATTACCTGGTTGTTAATGAAAGAAAACGAGAAAATTTTCTATTTTACACCCCTGGAATCCTACGCAGCCACTACTTTGAAGTGGGAAATTTCCTTAGCCTTGGGGGCTTGGAAGAGACCTGGGTGCTTTCAATTTGTTTGCATGCTTAAAACACGCACACATACACTCACAAACATGTTATCTGCGGGGTTTGGCCGTGGTTGTGGCTGAGGTTGAGCCGTTGAGGTGTGTGTTATCTTTTTCTGGCCAAAATTTTGATCAACCTTTTACCAAGGTCAAGACAGAGAAACTGTACTTCTAACCAAGTTGAACCTACTTAGAGCCTTTTTTGAAAGTCTCAACCTTTTGTTGCAGTAACACCATTATAATGATGTTTCGCTGCAGTTAAGACGTTATATCGACTTTCCACCACGGTTACTCTCTCTCCTCTGTCCATGTGCCTTGCTGTGTTCTAGATGTGTCAGTCTCTCATAACATGTTCTCTCATGATTTTCACATTTCACTCTCTCATGACATATGTTCTCTCATGATTTTCACGTGTCCTCCATTTGCAACTGATAGCTTTTTACCACAGTTTATCCAAAACCCCTCCATATATGGGCTGTTTGAAATTGATATTCAAGGTCCTTTCCCATGTTTTGGTTTTGGTGGCAGTTGATTGCAAGCAGCGATTTTTTGCCATGGTTAATTGAATAGCATATGTATTTCGAGTTTTACTCAACTCCTTCAAGCTTTAATCAAAGTGAAGCTGGTCCCAGGCTGGATTTCTTTCAGGCCAAATCCGCTCAAGGGACTGTGTTTTCAGAAGCTGCTCTTGAGCATGCAACTTGGATAAGCCTATACAATGCTTAACTTGGTCTTGGTTGTATCTTGAGGGTACACGTTTGCCACAACCCACTTGCATCTTGGATTCAACGCAAGTAGAGCATCTCGTGCCTCTGGTCTCAATAGCCAAAAGGTTAGTTAATAAGTCTTAGTGAAGTTTGGGTGGCATTTTTGGAACTCAGGTAATTCTTCAGTCAGTGGCATGCGAAGTTTAGTTTGGAATTCAGAGTCTGCTATGAATGTTTTGACCTCGGTTAAACAATTTTAGACCTTGGTGATGCATTTTAGACCTTGGTTGTTCATTTGACCAAGGTTCTGCACTTTCACCGTAGTTATGGTGTTTCGCCCACTGCTATGGATTTTTTATCACTGCAACCCATTACTCTAGTCCAAAAGAAGGAATTTTTAAAGCTTTGGAGAACCAAAACGCTAATAGAATGCATATTGGAGCGGGCAACAACTGATCTGTTTGAACCTTACGCTATATCCGGCTTCTTGATGTTCTTTTGAGTATGGGTCCACTTCAGAAACCTATGACAACCTTTGCTGCAAAACTATGACTCTTGTAGGATGAAATAAAATAGCTTAGTCACTCCACTTGACGATAAAGCAACTGTGCTTGCAAAGGCTTGTTGTGGATGAGAATCCTTTCTTTACCAAATACAAATGTCCAATGTTTAAAATAATCCTCTAGCTTAATGGGAGCATACGCTCATACCATTAAATCACTCCATTGGGCGTCACCATGTTAAAGCCCTGCATTGAAGTAGAGAGGAGAGCTTGGAAAGAATTTATATTGTTCTGCATCTTGAGTTTGATCCTAGTTGATTATTTTGTAGAGTAGATGAATTGTGACAACTTGATATTGTTTCTGTATAATTTTATTGGAAAGTTGATGCAATACGAACTTTCTTTATAGAAGCTTCATCTTGATTGCATTGGATGCACAAGTTGATATCTTTAGCATGCTTTACATATTATAATATTGTTGTGCATGTTGAGTTCGGACTAGGTGTCCTTTGTATGTAGATTGCAGAAATTTATGAATGCTTTTTTACAGAATATTTTGGATAGTTCAGACAATAGAGAATTTCCTTTGAAAGCTTCTTTTCGGAATACCTGTGATTCCCTATTGACCTTTTCAATCATTTGATTTTCCTTCCCAGTTGCCTTATATGCCTGTCTTCTGGCCCTTCACTCTCCTATCTATTATTTAATTCTTGTGTTGGACCTTCGTAAGATCCACCTTGCCTGCACTTTTGAAATTTAGGATTCATTCTGGTGAACTTGTAAACACTGATATGGTCATGATTTCCATCTCAAGGTAATTCATTCATTTTTCATAGCTCCATCTCCATGCAAGTTAGCTCGGTCGCCTCCGTCAAAGGGATCAAGAAAAACCTAGCAGAGTTCATTGCCTGAGTTTCTTGTTTCTACTTCTGACTTTCGTTGATGATATATGCATTAAAGTGTCAAGAAAGAGACCATAGATGGAGTTTTCTTTCTTCAAACTGAATTCAACGAGTTCAACTTTCTCATGCATTTCTGGACTTGCTGATGGATTTGAGGTCAGTGATTTCAAGAATGAAGTTGCTAAAACTCTTTTTGTTAGGTCAGCTCCTCAAGAATTATTTTACTGCTAAATATACAACTGACTGACAAAAACATGGAATGTAGTACAACTTATTGCATAGAAACTACTGAGCATTAAGAGTTCCCTCAGCCAACTCACTTACTCATGTCTGTTAGGCCTTTAATACACAGACAGTCACCCTTCCGAAAATCCCAATGGGATTGATAATGGCACCCTTATTGAGCTAATACATCAACCACCTGGTTGGCCACTGTTGAGATTCTCAGAGCAACTGTATAATGGAATTTCGATCTATGGTGCCTAAAGGGATTGCAATGCTCCATGTGTGATACCAGATGCCCAGTAGTTTATTGCCAACTCTAGACCATTAGGAAGAGTTCACATTCGACCTTAAAGCTAGAACCATTGCCAAAACCGCAATAAAATCTGCTGATATGATTGCCTCATGGTCTAGGGAAGGTGCTCCCTTTAACTATGTTTCAGACAGTACAGTGCTTTCTTTTTTAGATTTTGGAGAGGAAACTTATGGTAAGACTGCAGCTATGTACTTACCAAAAATCCGTACTATGCGTATGGAAGTTATTGTGTTTTTCTTTCAAATACGTATATATAACACTATCCCATCAACTTCTTGAAACATTGGCTCATGAAAAGAGCACATGCTGGATGAAAAATAAGTACAACTTTATTGTCAAATCATTCAAACTGAAATTTTGTGGTTATCTGAAATGTGTATTCTGTGAGATCACAACCCTAATGTGGATGCTGTAAATTGAGCTTTAATTTGCAGATAGGGTTTCACTAATATACAAACTGATATACAACAAAAGTTGCATACATTGTTGTCTTGTTGTAGAACAGCACGGCGGCGATCTTGGATTTGGCAAAGCTGCTTTGTAATGTGAGAAAATATATTGGATGTGAAACTTCATAGTTTCATTATCTTGCTGATCCGTTTTCATGGTATTCCTAAGGTTTATCTAATTTATTTGGAACTTGTTCTTTGATCATTTCAAGTTTTCCATTTCATTCCCAATTGTGCAGTTTTTAGTATTTGTGTTGGGCATCCAGTTCTCCACAATATGTGTTAGGGATAGATGACATTTTCTTTGTCCACTGGTTTCGAAGTATATAATCAAGAGAATTTCCATGTCCCTGTTTGTAAGTTTGCTGGTCAGAAATCTCTGAATTTGATATTTTAAATGAAGATAATTTAACACCATAACCGTTTTCGTCTTTTTTGCAGATGATAGTGTCCATTTATAGTCATGAATTAGTCTGAGCAATCGTAGAGAATGATGCATCACTGAATCATGGAATGTAACTAGCTTTCAAGAAGTAGTTCCATCTAATACTCAGCAAATATTTTCATAGGTCCATCCTTCCGTATTAGTTGCAGATTGAAGTGATGGAAGCTACTGAGGGAAATGAGAAGGTTTTGAGCTATGAAGATGTCATATTGAGGAAATCAGATTTGGATATCCTTCAGGGCCCTTACTTCCTTAATGATTGCATCATTGAATTCTATTTCGCATATCTTTCTTCCTCTCTTCCTCAAGACATTCTACTGGTTCCCCCTTGCATATCTTTTTGGATCATGAGCTGTACTGACAAACAGGGCCTGGAACCTTTTGTCAACCCACTAAAACTTCAAAGCCGGAATTTGGTGATCTTTCCAATTAATGATAACGATGATGTGAGCATGGCAGAGGGTGGCTCACATTGGAGCTTGCTTGTGTATATTAGAAAGAAAAATGCATTCTTATACTTTGATAGCATGATGGGTTGCAATGAATGGCATGCAGTGAAGTTATATAGAGCTGTCAACGTGTTAATGGGTGGCCAAAGCGTGTCTGCAAAATTTGTTGAAGGCAAGACTCTACAACAAAAGAATGGGTATGACTGTGGTGTGCATACTTTGGTGGTGGCGGAGGCATTTTGTTGTTGGTATTATGGAAACAATGAGGAAGACTTCGATAATGCATTGGAGAGACAAGTGACAGCAAATATAGTGGGTGAAATGAGGAGGAAGATTCTAAGCATCATTTTGCATCTGATTGATAAGAGGTGATTGTGTTAAGCATCATTTGCTTCCGATTGATAACAGATGATTATGTTGTATATACAGTAATACAGCTTTATTTTTGTTTGGTTTTTAATTTTCTGGTAAATTGATAGAAAACCCAGTAGGAGGAATGAGTAGGAGTTTACATGGTTGTCCGAATTAATTTTGACCATTTCCACTCAATGATCAGTTTAGGAGTAGCACGTTCAATCGATGTATCTGTTTGATTATGTGATACACGCATTGACATCGTAAGAGTGACATGTTTGGCCCACAGTTGTTTTCCTTCCTGAAGTTCTATCTCCTTCTCTCTCTTCCCCCCCCCTTCCATTTAGAAACCCAGTTGTCCTTTGTTCCATCCATGAAGCAATTTTCACTGCGCATTTCACCTTGCTTGGGTTCCTCTCCTTGGTTTAATCCGTGTTCGAGCAGCTGAAGAGATTAGGCATTCGATATCAAGTCTTCTCCAAGCAGAGGGGAGGATTTTGTTTGAGAAGTTGAGGAGCAAGTGTGAACATCTGCTGTATCGAATTTGTTCGTGCTTTGGTTGTGGGTTTGGGTTTTACTCCAATGCCGCAGGAATTGAAAATTACTTAAAATTTTGGGAAAAAAGGGATCACTTGGAATATATAT